CGGGAGAGGGGGGGGGGCCTCGGGGTCAGGGAGGGGAGCCGTGGGACGGGGGGGAGCGGTTTGACACTGACAGAGGGGGGATGGAGATGAGATGTGAGGAGGAAATTCTTGGCCATGAGGGCGGTGATCCCCTGGGGCAGGTCGCCCCGAGAAGCTGTGGCTGCCCCATCCCTGGAGGTGTTCAAGGCCAGGTTGGACGGGGCTCGGAGCAACCTGGGCTGGGGGGAGGTGCCCATGGCAGGGGGTTGCACTAGATGGTCTTTAATGGTCCCTTCCCACCCAAACCATTCTGTGATTCGATGAGTACCCCCCCCCAGTCACCATCCCTGGAGGTATTTAAAAGACTTGTAGATGTAGTGTTGAGGGACATGGTTTAGTGGTGGTTCTGGCAGTGTCAGGTTTACAGTTGGCCTCAATGATCTTAAAGATCTTTTCCAACCTAAATGATTCTGTGTAGATTCTAATTGGGTGAAGGGGGGTGTGGGCAGTGGCTGCGCTACGGCAGGTAAGGGGAACCCAGGTGCCGCAGGGACCACAAGCCATGCAGAAGTCCACAGGACTCCACAGGAGCCAGTTTGGCTCCAGCACAACCTGTGTCACTCCAGTGTCTATTTGGGACAAATTGGGATGTTTCCTCCCCACGTGGACACACCACTTGTGCCAGGAGGTGACAAGCTCTGCCGGCGTTCAGGTAAGGCTTGTAAACTTGTGGGCTCCTTCCAGCCTGGCTGTTGAACCTGGGGCTGCGAAATGTCACCGCTGTGGTGTGGGAAGTACTGATCTTCGTGACCCGAGTGACCTGGAGAGCTCTGACCATCAGGCCTGTATTCCTACAAAGCTCTGCCGGGGGCTGACGTGACCCACAGCGTGGCTTCAGCGCCTCCGCACGCTGTGGCCACCGCAGCTGTCTGCGTGGCAGTCTGTAAGCCAGCGTCCCTGAGTTACAGAAATTAAAAATGAGTCCCAAACATTTGAGAAGCCCAGTCTGTGGAGGAACCAGCCCTACACAAACACCGGTCCTTGCCAAGGGGACTTAGGTGCCCTCTGAGGCCAGCGCCCTTGGTGGCAGGTACCCACGAAGGCCCTGGGACTAAGGACCTACACCTGCTCCAAGGAGACAGCTCAGGCCAGCTCCTCAACTTCCTTGGCACAAGACCTCCAGGCCTTCACAGCTGACCATCCTTCTTTCTGGGGGACTTCATGGTTCCTCTTCCTCACTGCCGTGCGACGCACGCTGCGCTCACCGCAGGAGGTGCGGGGCAGTTCGCCCTGCCCAGAGAGGAGCTGGCTCATCCCTTACGGCCAAACACCGCTGAGCGACTGCGTGGACCTCTAAGAGCCAAGGCTCAGGAGGGGACAGGCCATGGGCTCATTCTAAAGATGCCATGGGCTGGAAACCTGCCTCATCGGAGTCTCTGCAAGCTGCTCCGGGCAGCCCTGTAGAGACGTTAGTGTGGAGACCCCGGTGACGCGAGAGGAGTAACAGCGATGCGCAGCCCTCTCCACCTGCCTCCCCTCCCGGTGTCATTCTGCTTTCCGTCCCTTCATGCCATTAGAGCGCAGGGAGACGAATCGGCCCCGACTGCGCTGGTATCTGCCATGCCTTTGCAGGAGGCACAAGAGCATGCTGGCGTGGACCCTGCCTGCCCCCAGGCTGCTGGGGCGGGAGATGAGGCAGTGCTGGAGCCACCCTGGAAAGAGGGACCCCCCAGGAATGGGTGAACCCTGATGGTTCTGGCTGTCCGAAACGTCAAGAGCTCTCCACCACACACTTGGAGACGGCCGTCTTCAACGTCAGGACTTCCCTGGTCACCTCCAGGTGACCATTCTGACGCATGGCACCTCTGCATTGCCTCCACTGCGGGGTACTGACAGATCTGCTCGGTACAGAGGAGGTCTGGGGAGGTCCCTCAGAGACCTCCCGCTTGTAAGCCCTGCTCAGCTTCTTCCCAACATTATCACCATTACAGCAGAAGAGCTGGTCCCTCACATTTCCCATTCCTCGGGAAACAGTCCTCTATCTTCACATTACCAGGACAGAGAGTTTTGCTTCTGAAAGCCTAAGAACTGGGGTCAGGTCTCCAGGCTCCCTCCCGCTGCCCTGTGCCTCTGCTGGAGGAAGGCAGAGCCATGTGCTGGCCCAGGACAAACCTTCTTGCTCCATTCAGGTACTGCTGGCTCTCAGCCCTGGCACGAACCTCCTGTCTCTAGTGGCCCTCATGCAATGTCCACACGGACACTGCAGAGCAACCGTCACGTATGGAGCCCTGCCGCAACCAGTCGTACCGCAGCCAGCCTGGGCACCAGTAACGTGGCCTTCACGGTGGGTGACCTTCTCCACCCGGAGCTGGGACAATGAATAGCCAAACTAGCTCTCCCCCAGGTAACTCGGGTATGTCCTCAGAGCTGCCACCAAACCCTGCCTGCAGTGCAGGTACGTCCCCGGGCGCTTCCTTGGCGTGGGACCGCCGGGACCAGCAGGACAGCCCGCACTGGGGCAGAAGCTGCTGGACACGGCGGAGAGCGTGGCTGCCATTTCACCTGACTGAGCTCCAGAGGTCTGACCTGGGGGCTGAAGGAGGCTCTACTGAGGACCCCACATGCGGTGACATTCCTGCCCAAAGCATTTTCACCGTGGAGCACAAGCAAAGCGAGTACAACACCCGGGGAAGACAGACCTGGAGATTCACGGGGCCCCACTGGCAAACGGGCGTTCCTGCCCGTGCCCAACAGGAGCCCAACGCCACCGCGCCGATTTCGGCCTTTCTGCTGCCCGGCCTGAGCCGTGCGTGGTGGCTGCTCCCTGCGGCGGCGGTGCCGGGCAGGAGGCTGACCCGCAGAGCTCCCTTTGGGCTGAGCCTTCCCGTGACAACCAGGGGACAGAGACCCGCGCCAGTCCCTTGGGGTGCACCGCGCGCGCC